TCTGGGCCTGTACCCGGGCCCTTTCTGGGCATGTACCCGGGCCCTTTCTGGGCCTGTACCCGGGCCTTTTCTGGGCCTGTACCCGGGCCCTTTCTGGGCCTGTACCCGGGCCCTTTCTGGGCCTGTACCCTGGCCCTTTCTGGGCCTGTACCCTGGCCCTTTCTGGGCCTGTACCCGGGCCCTTTCTGGGCCTGTACCCTGGCCCTTTCTGGGCCTGTACCCGGGCCCTTTCTGGCCCTGTACCCGGGCCCTGCTAACATAGGCATAGGTTAGGTGTTTAGGTTCTGTTGGCGATTATTTGTATTTGTAGTACGTGGGTGACGCATTTATAGCATTGTGGTTCGAACAAAATTCGTCAGTCAAGCACTTGTTCCGGAAGTGTTCGAACGAAATCAGTTGTGAGTCGTGTGTAACCCGTTTTGAAATCATAAACAGGGGGTTTGGCGGGTGCATGGAATCACTTTTAGGTCTATGTTACCGAAGACGGGCTGTTACACACTACTCATAACTGACGTTCGAAAATTTCTCGAACAGTGCTTCGCTGACGACCTGTGTTCGAATAATATTTTTGCAAGTGCTTCACCCACGTAATACAAATACAAATAATTGCCAACAGACCCTAAACACCTAACCTAACTACTCTTAAAAATGCACAAAATCTTAATCTTTATATATATATATATGATAATAATAATAATAATAATAATAATAATTTTTATTTAGGTAAGGTACATACATAAAGAGATTTTACAAAGATTGTTGGCTTAATAGATAGAGCTAGTACATACAATGCCTAAAGCCACTATTACGCAAAGCGTTTCGGGCAGGAAAAACATTAATGACTAAAGCTTAAAACTATAATGGGTAAAAAGAGTAAAGTCCATAGATTTCTTCACTAGAAGCAATGAACGTGAATTCAATATTACATTTGCTGAGACAGATAGAAAGGGATAGGGGAGGAGTGGGAGGAAACAGGTGGAGAGGGGGGGGAGCGATAGGGAGAAGGGAGATTAGGAGAGAAGCGAGGAGAGGTGTGAGAGAGGGAGAAGAGGAATGTTGGGGAAGAGGGAAAGAGAAGAGGAGAGGGGGGAGCTTTGGAGAGAGGAGAAGATGGGGAAGACAGGAAAAGAGAGGAAACAGGAAAGCAAAGATAGGTGGAGATTGGGAGAGAGGGGAATGGGGGTGGGGGAGAGACATGGACACAACTGGGTATCCTCATACTTTATAAAATTTCCTTATATTTTAAAAAATCCAATTTGGAATGAATTGCATGCTAAAATTGACGATTGCGTCTTCGGGGTTGGCCGTTGGATGGAATTAATTAAAAGGGGTGAACGTACATGTTTGATAACTCCTTTTACGGATGGTGAACATTTTATTTTCGTGTAATTTAGATAGCATATTACTTTGTTTATAACAAAGTTTCATATTTTTCCGCTTGCAAATAGAGGTGAAATTCAGAAACAGAAATAATCATGGTTTAGACACGGTTCCATTAACGCACCATACCTATTTCGCTGGTAATTACTAGAATAGCCCCCCACATGTTTATATACATTTTTTATGATGGGGTAACTATGTTTCGTTTTCTATTATTATCACTGTGAAGTTGGAGTACTTACATATTCCTGTGGGTCACCATATTTATTAATTTTATTTATTTTATTCATGTATTTATATGCAAGAAGGTACATTAGGTTTGTGAGAGTACATAACATTAGTGTCTTACAATCTTGCAAAGCCACTAACACGCAAAACGTTTCGGGCAGACCTGAATTACTACAACTTCTTAATGATTATTAACCCATGGAACCGCCTACCCAACTGCCAAAACTGTGTTGAGTTTTAAAATATACCTGGAAAAGATCACCAAGGCAAATTGAAGTGACCTTCGACAAGCCGAAGCTTTCAGTCCTCGTCGAGGCCACTAGAGTTAGTGGCCCTCGGGTAAATCAGGTATATTTTATATTATGGTCTCTATTTTATAGAGAAGATTCAGAGGTATGCCACCAAACTAGTCCCAGAACTGAGAGGTATGAGTTACGAGGAAAGGCTACGAGAGCTAAACTTCACGTCTTTGGAAGACAGAGGAGTAAGGGAAGATATGGTCACCACCTACAAAATGCTCAGAGGAATTGACAGGGTGGACAAAGACAAACTATTTAGCATGAGTGGGACACGAACAAGGGGACACAGGTGGAAACTAAGTACCCAAATGAGCCACAGAAACAGAAATATTTTTTTTCGGTGTCAGAGTAGTTAGCACATAGAATGCATTAGGTAGTGATATGGTGGAGGCTGACTCCATACACAGTTTCAAATGTAGGTATGATAGAGCCCAATAGTTTTTAGTTTAGTTCATTTATTATGCACCCCATACCCATCTTGTGGGCGGTAGTGGAAAGGGTTACAGAGGCACATAATGGGCTCAGGGACTGAACCCCACAATTCATTTAGCTAAGCAAGTTACAATCTTGATGAGCTAGTTACAAAATTCAATATAAGTCGATATAGGATCGGGAATTTGTACACTAGTTGATTGACAGTTGAGACGCGGAACCAAAGAACCAAAGCTCAACCCCCTCACGCACAACTAGGTGAGTATATGGTACTTATTAAAAACCATAGTTTTCTTGCAAATATCATATAACTGTGCAGACGATGTCACAATAACGTGGTTAAAGATACGTTGACCAAACCACAGTACATCAGAAAATGAAGAAACGACGACGTTTCGGTCCGTCCTGGACCATTATCCGAAGTACTGGAGAGGACAAGACGACCAGGACATGTAGTAGACACCAGCAGCATTGGAAGCATCCGAAGCAGGAGTTGTGTGAACCAAATTACTACGAAGTGTGTTAGTTTGTCGAAAGGTGAGTTTCAAGAGGACGTCATCCTCATCCTTGTTTGTCATCAAGAGGACGAAGGGGATTAGTGAGATATTTTAGTTCAGATATGAAGGGAAGGTAGAGCACGGTGGTATTTGTGTTGGAAACAGGTTTGGGATGAAAGAAATTTAGTTTAGTTTGAGAACAGGTACGGTTGATAAAATGTAAGGGATATCCAAGAAGAGAGAAAGACACCTGAATTTACCTGAGGACCACAAACATTCTAGTGGCCTCGATGAGGACAGGAAGCTGGCTGCTTGTCAAAGGTCTCCCCATTTACCCCTGATGATTTTTTCAAGCTGGATTTTAAAGTTCAGTAGAATTTTGGCATTTGCGGCTTCGGTGGGTAGGCGGTTCCATGGGTTTATGGAACCCATGGCAAACTGACTGCCATTTAGTTCAGATAGGATTAAAAAAAGACCCGTGTCCACTGAGGAAACCACTGTAGCCAATCACTGTTGAGTATCAACAACCAAATATAACAGCCACACACAAAGCTACAGAATTGTGGCCATAAAAAAGTTCAGGTCATACGAGATCACGTTGTACAATACTTTGGAAAATGCCCTGTAAACTGATTATGAGTGCCTGCTGACCATGTCCTGCAACATCCTAACCCATGCACACTACTAATGTGCACCTCATAAATGATCACAACTGCATGGTATATAGATGCTTTGGGTGAAAAAGCATCTCCTGTTTTCGTTTCAATATCAATTTACTGTTTTTGGTCCTACACTGTGGCTTGTTGAGCTTGAAACAGTTACTTCTTCTTTGCGTTAGGGCTGACGTTTTGAAGATGTTGTCCGGCTGAACATCCTCCAAATAGGTCAGCATTTTGAACGTTTCGATGAGATCAGCACTATCATATCTAGTTTGCAGTGTTGTTAGCCCTGTGGCCCTTCCTGGCATGAGAGTTGAATTAGTTCTGGAATTATTTTTAATTGGAAAATAATTATTTTTAATTAAATTAATTGAATTGAATAATTGAACTTTTTCCAATAAAGACGTGAATAAAAGATATTTCCATAATAAAGAAACATGAGAGTCACTGATGCGGGTCGGAAAAGAGAGACGAGAACATATGTCTTAACAGATAGGGGGATGGTAGAAAAAGAAGTGAAGAGTAATCGTCTCCTATTCTTACCCCTTTCCTTATTCTTACCTCTTCTGTTATTCTTACCTAGCTGCCTCCTATTCTTACCTTCATCCTATTCTTACCTTTTACACCTGGAAAGTAAAATACTGGACAACAAAACTCATTTCAGAACTAAGTCAACTCAGGACTGACAAGTAACAACACTGTTAAGCAGACATGACAGGGCGGATCTCATCGAAATTGAAATTGAAATAAGTTTGTTGAGGTAAAATACACACAAAGGGATAAGGTAGCTCAAGCTATTCTCACCCCGTTCAGTACAACGTGTTCATACATATATAGACACACATCACAAACAATAAACATATTGCCCAACAGTCTGAGAGATAAACATACATTGCCTCCTTTATACAAGGAGTATGGTATCAGACGTACACACAAATAGACTTAGGTATACTGTATAGACAATTTGCAAGAAACATGCAGATAATTTAACAAAAGATTACAGTCTTGATCTCATGGAAACTTTTAAAATACTGAACAATTTGGAGGATGTTGATCCAGACAACTTCTTCAAAAGGTGACAAACAAGGAGCAACGGGTTTAAGCTCAACAAACCACAATGTAGGACAGAAAACAGGAGATCCAGATGCTTTTCCACCTACTGGGTTAAAATCCATGAAACCGCCTACCCGCCGGAACGGAAAAGCCCAAATTCTGTTGAAATTCAACATTTAGTAGTTACTTTGCAAGAATGTAAGAACACCAATGTTATGTTCTTTCACAAAACCAATATGCCTTCAAATTCCTTCACGTATATTAAAAATTATATAAATAAATAAATTTATATTTGATTGGTTGATTTATTAGGGCCTGCTCTTTTACTTGTTTTAATTAAGATTGTTAAAATATACAAAATAATCTCTACAGAGTTGTCTTTTGATTTTAACTGCTCTAAATCTTAAGAGATTAAAGCCAAACTCTCTATTAAAGAGTTAGAGGTTATTGATCCCAGGTGAGCGGGTGTGCAGCTTGGTCAAGTTGGGAGGTAGTCAGCTTGGCCACGTGCTGTTATGCTGTGCCAACACTTTCTGTGGGGGACAAGCAAGCTACTGCAACAAAGCCGCACAATCCAAGTGCTTGGTGTGGGATCATTAAGGGGAGTATTGGGAGAGTTAAGGAGCGGCCCGGAGAGATCTTGGAGGCGTGAGAGCAGCAGCACGAGCGCCTCTCTCGACCAGACCAGCGCCTTGCTCGACCAGACCAGCTCCTTCCTCGACCAGACCACTGCAGTCATGTCCACCGACGACGCCAGCAGACCTCACGGTGGACTTACCAATGGAGTCAACCCTAAGACGCCCTTCTTGATAGGCGTGGCTGGAGGCACAGCCTCCGGGAAGGTAAGAGAAGCGGAGAGTGCCATTATTGTCACCCCCGGGGGCGGGCACCCAGCCCTGTCGTGAATTGATGACTTTACACTTCTCTCCTAGAATATATATGTGAAATATGTGATCTTCGTTAGGTTGGGAAGCATTACAAATAACAACAGAACATTAGGTCCAAGCAAGATTCATTATTAAGGTACAAGACATACATACAAGACGGCTCACACCTCAGATATTCTCTACCATATTGCTCACATGTTTCATATATGAATTATTGGTAAATTTTAAAACTTAATATAATGCTTTGAACAGTTAAAATCGTGTGCTTAGTACATGTATAGCTACTGATTAAAATGCAGGGCTATGATATAATCTGGGATTTGTAAGCTATGCACGCTAGTATAAACACATCATTTATTTATTTTTTATTTATCTATACAAGAGTTCTTACATTCTTGTACTGCCATTAGCATGCATTGTATTTTGGGCAAGACCTTAATCCCAATTTTCACACACATTCCCAGATAGCAGCTGTCTTAAATCCCAGGTACCTATTTACTGCTAGGTGATCAGGGGGCATCAGAGTGAAAGAAACTCTGCCTATTAGTTTCTGCCTCCGCCGTGTACTGAACTCAGACCCTTAGGACTACGAACCCTGAGTGTTGTCCACTCAGTCATCAGACCCCAAATGTCCACAAACTTGATCGAATGCATCGCCTGTATGTCCAGAGCAGGGAACGCTTGCTGTACATACACCCGGCTCTGACTTTGACAACACAGCAAGGGAAGGTGTAAGCAGCATACAACAGGTGACCGATTTGTGACCCACACTGTGCACCTGAAACATACCAGAACCTGAGCATATTCCATATATTTGAACCCCCCAAAGGGGAAAAAAAAGATTGGCAGACATTGGCAATGCCAGCAACAACTAAGGAAGGGACCCTAGACATATGTAGGTGAGGTAAATAATGACTCGACGTTCATGCAAAAAGGTAGGCTAGAAAAAACAAACTTGCAATGTGATACAAAAAACTGGAACAGATAAAAAGTACCTAATTTCATCCTCATAGTTTCCTACCTAGTGCATCAAACTTGCACTGTATCTTGTGCTACCCAATCCCCTAATATATGTGCCTAAGAAATGCAACTTCACCATTGTAATCACTGCTATCAACTTGTATCATGGTGTTGACCAATCCACACACTAGAAAATGAAGGGACAATGACGTTTCGGTCTGTCCTGGACCATTCTCAAGTCGATTGTGAATGATCTCAAGTCGATCTCAATCGACTTGAGAATGGTCCAGGATGGACCAAAACATCGTCGTCCCTTCATTTTCCAGTGTGTGGATTGATCAACATACTTCAGCCACGTTATTGTGACTCATCGCTTGTATCATAGTTGTAAGACGAATCGTAAGTCGAAGCGATTTTTCCCATAAGAAATCAAGGGAATTGAATTAATTTGTTTCCCACCCTTCAAAATATTAACTTACAAATACATTTTATACTGAATACAATTTGTTTCTCTAACTACAATACAGTACGTATGTTTATCTTACCTTTATGGAGGACTCATGATGGCGTATGGAAGATGGTGCTGAGGGGGGGGGGGGGAGAGTGGTGGTGTTACTGTTTGGAAGTCCCCTTTCATTATAATATCAGGCAGTGATGACTTTTCTGGGATACACTCTCTGGCATGTTTTACCTGCATACCACTAGGACCTGCTTGTGGCTCACTGCTTGTTTGTCTTACTAAAAATCTGTCTAAAAACACTTGTTTTTCCCTACATTTTAACACTTGTCTATTGTAAGGCATCACATTGTCATTTAAAGGTCAATGCAGTGGGCTGCTACAGCTTTATCTGGGTGAGTTTTTTCAACAAAACTTTGCAATTCTTCCCATACTTCACCCCTTTTTTTAATGAGGAAAGTACATTCTCTACTGCCTCTACTCACAACTGTTTTCTTAGGTTGAACCTTACCACTGACTTTCTTGGGACCAATGGCATGATATATAATAATCAGTTTTATGTTCAAAAAGCAAAAAAAAAATCACCACAAAAACGGGATTTCTTATAGGTGTGAGCATCACTAAGCGGGCAGCTCTAGTAAACTGAGGCAGGTCGGCCCGCGTGACCGGGAACCACGCACTCGGTCGACCCAAACGTGTACCAACAAATGTCATTAGTCGACAACACTATCATAAATCGAGTCGCATTTTTCGATCAAATTTATATCGTAAGTCGAGGTGCCACTGTATAAACAAACCCCATTTGGATCTGGGGTTTGTTTATACAGTGGGTACTAAAACTATTCAGTAAACCCCCCTACAGTACAAGGAATGTTTAAAATTTGTCAAATTTTATTCCATAAGAACATAAAAATAAAGATAACTGCAGGGAACCAAATACAAGGGAAAGTACAATCAGATCTGTGGTGCCTATGTTGGACTGCACACACCAACTATCGCGTTGAATATGCTGTTAAACAGAAGTCTTGCCAGAGACTGCCTGCTGGCGGAACTACAAAAAATACCTTGCAAAATATTGGATAATGAGGTGCATATTTTTTATTCTTTAAAATATGAAAGAAACTATTTTAAAATTATTTTTATATTTCAGTCAACAGTATGTAAGAGAATTATGGAGAAGTTAGGTCAGGATGATATAGAACATTCTCAGCGTCGTGTGGTCTGCATTTCTCAGGATGCCTTTTACCGCCCTCTCAATGCAGAAGAAAGTTCAAGGGCTCTCAAGGTTAGTTCATGTTCAGTTAAAATTTGTATTTATTTTATTTAGGCTGCATTGGAAATTTGTTCTTTGTAGAAATCAGTTTTTATAGTTAAATTGTAGTGCAGTAATGTAGTTGTCTCAACACCCATGATCTAATTGACACCATATAATTTTGAGTTGGCAATCAATCTTCAGATATAAATTTATTGGTACTGTATATTTGCTAGTAATTGATATTTTAGTTATTCTTTCCTAGGTTAACATTATTAATGTTTTCTTCCAGGGTATCTTTAATTTTGATCATCCTGATGCTTTTGACAACGAACTTATTTTGAATACACTCCAGCAAATTCTGGATGGCAAAATCTGCAAAATTCCAAATTATGATTATGGTACAAACTCAAGGTATGCTAAAATTTAATGTATTTAGATACAGTACTATAATTTTGCTCTAATTGTGGTCTGTTTACCCTTTGTAAACAGAACAGAAGATGATCCTAAATCAATACAGTAAAAAAAAAAAATTGTGTTAATATCCGTTATTGAGTCAACCACTGAATCAGTGTAAAAATGCATTTCCCAGTGCACATCCAGACCATGTAGATTTTTGTTAAGGATCTTATGAACAAAATGTTTCCCTCAAAGGCCAGAGTTTTATTACATAAATGTGAAAGGTGAAATTAAGTGTGGGAACAGAGACCATATACATTACCACCATATTTGCTGTAGCCTTTTAGCTGTTGCACCCTTTAGAACGTTTTGTTGGCACTGATAGTAAAACGGTAGAAAAGGTTTTGTTGTATTTGTTCATTTTTACTACATTTCTAGTATAAAGAAGACTTGGAGGCATTCTTGGCAGTTTTTAATTTACTGCACGGGATAATGTTTTGTCACAGATAGCTGCACCTTCCTCTCTCAAAGCCAGGTGTTAATGTGAACTTTACAGCATGAAAATTTGAGCAACTGAACACTCTTAGAAAATCACACCCATGACCCAAAAAAGTGGTCACCCATTCACGGGGCTGGATGGTTGAGCGACGGTCTCGCTTCATGCAGATCGGCATTCAATCCCTGAACGTCCAAGTGGTTGGGCACCATTCTTTCTCTCCGTCCCATCCCAAATCCTTATCCTGACCCCTACCAAGTTGCTGTATAGTCATAATGGCTTGGTGCTTTCCCTTGATAATTCCCTTGTACATTATAATGTAGGACTTAAAATAGCTGCTCTGTTTAAGGTTTAACAGAGTGGACTGTCTCCTATTGTTTATTCTATTTCTTTGGATGGAACTTTATTACCGTTTTGGCTTCACCTTCAGTGTCATCTGGTTGCCTGCCACACTTGCTGCTTTAAATCTTACTAAGACATTTTTTCTAAGCTCTTCCTTCTATCTTTTCCCTTTTTTTCTTTGTCTCTGGTAATTCCCAGAGGGATCAAGTAATCAAGTAACATGTAGGGAAATTTAAAGTGTCATGATAAATATGACACTTTAGTTTCAACTTGGTAATGCAGAGTTAAGACATTTTGACAATGAAACATTAAGATTTTTAATGTATTATGTGCTTTAAAATGTTCTTTTCATATACTATTGTAGTGACACTCAAACTGGAAATAATCGCCTATTATTTTCAAAGCATTTTAATAATTTGTAATAGCAAATTTATCATCATACAGTATTAAGATTTAAATTAAAATTGATGGAGTCTGAGAATTACCCTAACATTAATGTCTTTCTCCAGATTGGAGAGCACAACCACTATATATCCTGCAGATGTGGTGCTGTTTGAAGGTATTCTCATGTTCTATCAACCTGAGATTCGAAAACTTTTTCACATGAAGCTCTTCGTTGACTCTGATGCCGATACAAGGCTGGCCAGAAGAGGTACGACTTTGAAGATTTTCTTTTGTCTTTTAAATTTTTGTTAATAATTATTTGTGCCACACATCTTGAAGTTAAGAATTTTTAACAATTTACATAACCTATACTAACACAACACTAAAATTAATACTTAAAATTACTGTACAGTTCATTAAGCAAAGTTAGTTTTGACTGCCAGCTGCTGAAGCCTCACTGGTTGAAGGCATTTGTGTTGCCTGTGTGGCCTCACTTGTTGAAGGCGCTTGGCTTGCCTGTGATGCCTCACTTGTTGAAGGCGCTTGGCTTGCCTGTGAAGCCTCACTTGTTGAAGGCATTTGGCTTGCCTGTGACGCCTTACTTGTTGAAGGCATTTGGCTGCCTGTGACGCCTCACGGGTTGAACAACACGTAACTTGTCTTTAATTGCTAGGACAACCTTCTTCTTCTTAACACCTCCAGAATGAATGATGCTGCTACCAGACATAGTCTTGGCCAAAAATGTTTGAAGTTACTATGAAAATTAAAAAGTTATTTAAAAAAAATATTTCACTAATGGTGCAGCACTGTGGTATAACACGAGGGACGGGAGCACATGGGTTGACCAGTGTTGGACGGGTCCACTTGGGGCAGCTATAGCACGTTAGGTAGGCCGCCAGGAGGAAAAAACTCACAATATTTTTGAAGGAAACTTAAGCCTGTGCACATTGCTTTTAGGAAACTTATTTATTTGTTATTACATAATTACTAATACTTATTTCATTTGTTTTTGGCTATGATTAATTGTTCTAAAATTAATGGTAATTCCTGTACCCAGGTGGTTCCTCCCGACGCTGCCCTCCCACCCTCCTGACACCACCCACCCACCCCACCCCCTCCTCCACCATGCGACTAGATCCACAGGCAGACAGGATTAATACGGTACAGCTGAATTTTTATCCGGCCAAACCAGCCTTTATCCGGTTTCTGTGGCCATTTTGGCCGGATATTGAGATAACTTTATCCGGTCACGATTTTGGCCGTATAAGGGCGTTTTCCAGATGTTTGAATCCCGGATAATCGCGGGGTTACAGTGTGTGTGTGTGTGTGTATAATTATTTATTTATTTATTTATTTTGGGGGAGGTTGACCAGACCACACACTAGAAGGTGAAGGGACGACGACGTTTCGGTCCGTCCTGGACCATTCTCAAGTCGATTGTGAATGGGGGTTGGGGGGTGGGTGTTTACATTTTCATTTCATTTTAAGGTATTATTTTGGTTTTACATGAATCTGTTATTCAGCTGAAATTTCAACTTTAAGATTTTAAGTTGTGAATAGAAAAGCCTTTGGGCAGGGGTGGTGAACCTTTTAGAGATCCTGTGTCTAACTTGTCAGCCTTCTAAAAAAAGTATATCGTGCCTATTAAAACAACGATAACTTCTGAATTGTTTTAAATAGGATGGTTTTAGGAATGTCATGCTATTGATCACTAGTAATTTATAAGATGTAAAAATGAATGAACTAGTACCAATAGTGATGGAATTTTGTAATGGTAGTAGTAGTCCTGTTGCTTATTTCTTATTTACATAGTAGTAATTAATTTGTTTGTACCTATAAAATATCGTATAAGCAACATAAGAAATGTAAATGTGAAGTAATAAAGCTTTGTTTGATGTCATAAAATATATAAAAATCATGGAAAGAAAAATAAGTATATCTTACTCCCATTGAGGCTTTTGTTGCAGCAACAACGATGACATATTTTGTATTAAGCTTCTATTTAGTCATTTTTGAGAGTTGTGCATGTGCTAGTTTCATCAGTAATTTTTAAATCTACTCCAGTAGACTTGACAAAGTTCATCACTGAACACACTGACTCTTGAAAATACTGTAAATACTTACATTGCAAGATTTTTCAGATAGTCAAAAGTTTAAGGAATGGAATTCCAGAGTTTCAGAGCCTTATATATATGTACTGCAAATTTCTACATTAATCCAGTCACTTACCAAACTCTTTCAATGTTTTCCAGTTCAGTTCTCAAGCTGGAAAATGTTTGCCCTTAAATTGTGCTGCTTTGTAAGTCAATCAATTACACCTAAAAATTATCTAAATCAATTAACTGCAATACTTCCAAATTCAGTTTTATTTAAAACTGAATTTAATTAATATAATAAGAATAATTACACATGGAGTTTACAATGTGTCTTCCATTTTCAGTAATGCGTGACACAAAGGAACGTCAAAGATCTCTGGAGCTAGTTCTTTCTCAGTACACAAAACTAGTCAAACCAGCATTTGAAGAGTTTTGTTTACCTGTAAGTATTAAGAGTATATTTTATGTGAAGAGGTACTTGTAGTTGGAAAAGTATTGCTCAAGTCTGTAAATTCAGTTATGGAAGCATTGCCATAGGAAGATTGATGTGGCCACCACCCTCTCATTGAGTCATGTCTGGCTACATTTTGCAGTACTATTACTTGAATTTGGTATTTTTACCTTTTGAATGAATTTATATTAATGTACACTTTTAACATGTACACACACCACTCATGACTTGCAGGCACGAGTTCAAGTATTTTTTCTTTATGTATATTAGCAAGCAAGTTCAAGCATAAGGTGTAGGAAATTTAAGTAATTCGCAACTCATCCTCCGAATTGACAGTACGGTTTAATACTAAGTGTAATAAGTACATTTCCTTACTGTCATACATAATACATAATTGCACTTATGGGGCTGTTACATTTACCTCCCCATTTATTCTCCTCGTTTTCTGTTAAGACACTCAGAATTTTAGGAGGATGTTTTCAAGTTCAATTTGCTATACACAAGTTTTAAATATCAGGAATTTCTTTTTCAGTTTTATTAAACAAAAGAGATTTTATACAAAATTTGAAAATATCCTGAGTTATTCTACAATTTATTGATATATTTTTGTTTTATTAGTTTTATAAAACTGTAATATCAATATAGCTATAAGATAAGTAGTAATTGTAAATAAGAAGCAATAAAATGCTTATCTTCAAACTCTAAGAAGGCTAGGTTAGGTTGTGGTTTTCTATTCAGCTTTTCAGGTAAACTCAAATATTCACAATATATTTGACAGTACAGTTTAATACTAAGTGAAAATAAGTACAATTCCCGACTGCTAGGAATAGTACATAATTACACATACTTGTGCTGTTACATTTACCTCCCCATTTTTGGAGGACGGGCTGGTAATTCCAGCTACTTAATTGTCAAGTAAAAGTACAAACACTTGTGAAAGACATAAAACTCAACCTTTTAACTACAACTCTCTTTTATCATATGAATATAAGTGATAATTTAGTTAAAACTAAAAAGAGGCTAAAGTGAATAGGCCAGATTCATAGTCAAATTAAGCCAATCATTTCAGTGAAACAAATAACAGAAGTAAAATGTTTCATTGTACTAAATTTTTTTTATCCTTTTGTAATTGCTTACTATTCAATGTTATGTACTAGGGCCTGTGGTTATTTGTCAAAGGAAGATTTGGTTTTCCCATGAATGCTTGAATCCATTTCCAGACACAATCCCAGCTAAGGAGTGGCTTACAAGATTCTTCCTTTTAGCTGTGCCAAGAACAGGTTTACCTGCAATTAGTATATATATTGTTGACCAACCACACACTAGAAAGTGAAGGGACGACGACATTGTGGTTCGTCATGGACCATTCTCAAGTCGATTGTGTCTCAACACACAATCGAGTTGAGAATGGTCCAGGACGGACCGCTATGTCATCGTCCCCTCACTTTCTAGTGTGTGGTTTGGTCAACATATTTCAGCCACGTTATTGTGACTCCTCGTCTGCATAGTATATATATATATATATATGTCGTTCAGTATTTCATGCCTATATGTGGTACATAATTGCTGCCGTTATCAATCGTGTACATAAATCAAATTATTAAACAGAAATTACATTGTGTAAACATATAAGTGAAACAATAGATGTGTAAAACATCCAAGATGAAAATGAAAGTCCTTCCCCAAATCCTCCATCTACTGTCGGCAACACTTGCATCTGGCATCGAAAGTTGCAGTGACCTCCATCACCTGGTTTCCTTCCAGAACTTGCCAAACTAAAAAAAAAAAATATATTACATTTTTTTTAGCACATGTAAGGTGACACTTTTTATGATGTAACCATATTTTGAGGGTTAAAGTAGGAAATTATATTGCAAAATGGCCAGTTCATTTTGCTGTCTTCTTTTTTGCAGACCAAAAAGTTTGCTGATGTAATCATTCCACGAGGAGCAGAAAATACAGGTGAGTCCAGTTTAATGTGTCCAATGCATTCCAGTAGTTGACAAGGCTTAGATAAAATAGTGCTGAAACCCTAGCAACTGCTGGCTAGACTCCTTGCCCAACATACATGTTTGTGGTACCAATTTGATGGCAAAATTCCAGCAGGTTTGTGTTCAAATTAATTTTGTTTGCTACTCTAATTTCAAATCATCAAGTTTTGTGTTGTCTTGTGTGTGCAGTACATTTTCATTTTGTCAACTAGTGTGAAAATATGATAAGTGTATGAAATTTATGCAATCCTTGTAATTTGATTCATGATTTCTACAAAACTATGGATATTCATTCGGCATTTCTGAGAGGCCAACATGTGTGAAACCAGAAGATATTGCCTATTGTTTTCTCCTTTTTGTTTTTTAAATATTGTGTACAATTTTAATTATCATGGAAATATATACGTAGTATTGTACAGTGTATAATTCTAGACTCATTGCACAACATTACCTATCCAAAATCCTTGATGTTATTATAAAAACTATATGAAGATATACCTATCTTGGCCCATGACATCAATTAATTGTTGGGATAATCCACTTATAGAATTTGGAATCTGCATAAAACTGGGCTTACGATAGTACAGTGGAACCTCGAGTGACGAGCGGCTCCAGTTACGAGCATTTCGAGTAACGAGTAAGCCACTCGCAGAAAATATGTCGCGGCTGATGAACTTTTGCTCGATTAACGAGCGTTCCCGCTGGTTCTCGGACACCTCTGACGACAGTTTTGTTGTTTCACAAGACATGACGAGCTCGGTGCCGGAACAGATTAAACTCGTTAATCGAGGCGCCACTGTATTACACAACACAAACTTTACATCGGGTTTCTTATGGGGGCTATTTCCTTTATATATATATCTTAAATTAATGGTATTATGAACAACATTGAATTAAGGTGGACACGTGCCATGTAATGAAATGTGGAATAGGTAAAATCAGGCTACAAGTAGCCTAAAAGTTATGTGAAAAGATATTAAAGAACTCTGGCAAAGAAAGAGGCCTAGGGGTGGTTCTGGATAATAAACTGTCAATTGAGGACTATGTCAAAGGCATTGAGAAAGGAGGCTATGCTATACAGTACTTGCAATTTTCAAAATTACTTTTATTACCTGGATGTGGAAATACTAAAGTTATTCACAGCATTCTTGAGACCAGAATTGGATTATGCAACAATTGTATGGTGTACATACCTAAAAAAAAGAAAATTAGTAAAATAGGAAAGGTACAGACACATGCTGCCAAAGGTCTTCCAGACCCAAACAAAAAAGTGATCTGAGGATAGGCCTAGAGACATTAAACATTCCAAAAGCTAATACTGTAGATAGAAGAAAACAAGGTAATATGATCACACATACAAAATTGTGACAAAAATAAACATACTTGGCAAGGTTAGATGTTTAAAACCTGCATCTTAGGAAAACAAGAGGCCACAAACTTGTGTGAAGAAAACAAAGGTGCCAAAGAATGTTGGAACAATATTCCTTGCAAATCTTGCAAATAAAGTTGTGGATAATTGGAACAATTTAAATGAAAAAGTTGGGCATGCCAAAACCATTAGAAGTTTTAAAGCATTCCAAGACAAAGATTATATGGAAGAGGTAACACTAATAGCATATAGCTCTTATCCAGTGACTACACTTTGATAATTACACAGACAAAAACGGGCAGACAGCAAGCTGTCTCTACCATCCAGATACACAGAGCTGTCTCTGTCATCTACATACTCGGAGCTGTCCCTACAGTAATTTTTATTACTTAATTTTAATTACCTAAGTTTAGTTACAGAATGAGAACTGCACTCATGGTGTCCCATCTTCCCAGCACTCTGTCATAAAACGTTTTGAAACTACTGACGGTTTTGGCCTCCACTACTTTCTCACTTGTGGTCTATTTTTGTTCAATTCCATATTCCATAATGTGGCATTTATTCACATTGAATTCTATTTGTCAAATTATGCTCCAAGCCCTTATTTTATCTAGATCAATTTGAAGGTCATGACAGCCGTCTATGTCCTCCTATCTTCCCCAGTATCTTAGCGTCATCAGTAAACATGTTCATATAATTCTCTATTCCTTCTGGTAGATCATTTATATACATGACGAACATTACTGATGTACTCACCTAGTTGTGTTTGCGGGGGTTGAGCTCTGGCTCTTTGGTCCCGCCTGATGTGTCTGTGTGTGTGTGTGTTTGGTTAAATATGACTGCATTGCTGGCATTGTTGATCTTATAGTATAATCTTTATATTGCTTCTATTTTCATACTCTTGGGATTAAGAAGAGCAATCAAGTTACTGAAATTCATGGTAAAGAAACTTTAGTGATTATTGAAGGGTTTATTTTCTACAGTGTTTCATTTCATTCTAGAACATCTTCAGGTAAGGAATGAATACACAAGGTGCAATTTTATCTTAAATACACATGTGGAAGAGGTAAAGTTGTATGGGGTGAGGTGAAGGGTCGAAGAAATATTAGGGTAAACAAACGTAAGGAAGGAATAGGGGGGAATAGGAGAATAATGGGGAAAGGATGCCAGTCAAACATTAGGTAAGGCGGTGGGTTGGGAGAACTCGGTAGCGATGTCATCGCTATATGGTGCTGTTTTGGTGAGATTTGGATCTCGGTGGTTTGAATCCACTCTAGTGGATTCAGCTGAATCCCAATTGCATTGCTTTTGCCATGCCATGATAACGCCTCTGTTTGGTAAAGCCCTTATGATTCCCGGATTCCCCCCCTTTCCCTTTAGGTTTGTTGGTTAATCTGCTCCAGAACTGGCTGGCCAGGGGAGCCAGCTGTAGGCTGGGGTCAGGCCGCTTGGTGATGGTTGTCAGTACTAACGAGTTTCAAGCTGATTAGTGAATCCTGTGTTCAGTTTGAATCATTTGCAGAGTCATTTCTCTGTTTTGAGGCTTTGTTTTCTGACAACCCTCCAGTTGTCTAAAACTTTGCTGACTTCCTTGATGCTTTCACAGTGGAGTGGTGAATTGTCACTCTCCACCTTTGCCACTGTGAAGGGGTCAGGTTCTGACTGGTCCCCAGTAGGCCAAACAGAACTTCTGCAACTGATCTGATCTTTTAGTATGGAACAATCTTTTGGTAGCTTTAGGGAGCCACCAGGGCTTTACCTACCAGAAAGAGGAGTTTCATTACATTCAGCATTGGGTTTTAAGTGTCTGAATATAAATATGGGTACAGTACTTTGCGTTCCTTAGACTTGTTTGACATAAATCACCCAAATCATAGAGGATTAATTTTTAATTATTTTAAAACCTGTACATTAACAATATGTAGACATGCTATAAGTCTAGCCAGCATCCTGATGTACTAGATGACAGCCTCCTGTCCAAACTTGGGAAATGGTTGAACCCATATAATTTATTGAAAGGCTTTGCTGAGGGAGTGGAATGTAGTTGGAAAATAATCCTAGAAATTTAGAAGATTGTAGTTGTTGTGATGGGTCTTAAGTTAGCAGTGCTATTGGGCATGGCTAGTATATGTGGGGGTGGCACACATTACTATCAGTTTCTTAACTTTTCTTATTAGATATTATTTAAACCACAACTTTGGTTGAAATAATATTTAAAATAACAGCAGTATTATTTTGTTGTGAATTGTCTTAAATTGTCCTTCCACGGCAATTGTAAAGTAGTTTCAGTTGAAGAAATGCATTTAATCACGTCTAATAAGCAAGTGTAAGACAATGTCTTGAACCTTGTCTACTGTGTGTTAATACTGCTACAAAATGTACACGTTAAAGATTAAGCTGATGTATAATTTGCAAAATAACTAGTAAATATTTCAGTAATCCTGAAACAGTATATTACGCTGACAACAATTTTCTTTATGGCTTAAGTTAAAGCTACTGACTTTGTACTTAAGGTTTGACACAAAACAACATATATCTTGGTCCTCTAAAATCGACGTGCAGTATGTCAAACCAAGGAGATCAAATACTGTATTTGTTTTATTAGTTCATGATTCATTTCAAATAACTACTTTTTTTTATGTTATCAAGCTTGGAATTTGTGCTGTCTTTAGATGTGTTTATTTTAAATATTTGTGGACTAGAGGATTTGTGTGTATCTGAGGGAAACCATTGTCCAGTCTTTGTCAAAAATAATTGATTTAGTTAAAAGATTATAGATACTGTAATATGTTTGAAACCCTATATCTTCCCTATCAGTAGAGTTCATTGCTGGTGACTGGATGGTTGGTACCCCCCTCAGTGCGTACATACATATTTTTTTACCCCTCCAAAGAATGCCACTAATTAGCCTGCCATACTCTTTGCTTGCCTTGCAGTTGCCATTAACCTAATAGTGCAGCATATTCAAGAGATTGTCAACGAACGCTCCGGAAATGGCTCCGGAAATGGGACTCGCCAACGTTCTCGATCAAACTCTGACTCAAAAATCCGTTGAGATTTTATAATACAGACCAGCTATGCTAGGATCAATCATATATTTTTGTATCATTCAGAATGACCTTTGTCCACCAAATGTATTTAGTACACTTTTACAGTGTAAAGACAATATCTGTATGATTAGAAATGTTATGAAACGTTTGCTTTGTGTATTCACTAATTGTATTGAATACAATGGTTAATTTTAAGACTACGCCATATAACCAATATAGGAGCAAGCTAATGTGTTTTATGGAGTAATGAAAGGGCCTGTCAGCGTATATTTCCCAGTGTCGGTGGATTCTGCAACGTAAACAAGCATTCGTTGATGTGAAGAAATTCCTTAGTAAATTTGACTTCCAAAACTAACTGCAGCAGAAAAGTCAAAACTTATAAGGACAAGCAAATTCACACCAGTCAAAAATAAATGGAAGTTGGAAATGATATTGGATAAATGTTCTTTCTATTTGCAACCATTTTAGACATTCAAGTAACCTAGTACAGAATGTATTGGAAAACGGTAAATTCATATCTTGTAGTATATCATGTAGAGATTTGAAGAAAAA